GAAAGTCTCACACATGTAGAAACACACACACACACACACACACACACACACACACAATTAATGCTCCTTAGAACATTTGCCTGTTAATCCACAACAGTAAAGACACCCCCACTGGGTGGCCAGGATTGAGACCGACAAGTAACGTGGGAGGGCATCACAAGAGGGTTCTTGTGTCCTCCCAGGATGTGGATGAAAAAACTGTTGCCCTCATTCACCTTATTTCACTTGCAGCTGGTCTTAGGGTCTCTCTCATGTTTTGTTTTAAACACATCACGGCAGCTGTTTCCTAGAGCAGACAATTCCACAGGCACAAGTGGGTAAGAGAAATAAAACAGCCTATCCTTCCAGAGGTGTGTGGGGAGGGGTGGGGGGGGGGGCGGGGAGTAAGGAGGTGGCACGTCACCACTGGCCTGACTTCTTACAAATGACCCGGCTGACGGTTAAGTTAATGATCCACTGTCTGTGCACTGCACTGCCTCTCCGATTTAAACAAACCTCCCGACCGAACTGCATGTTCTGCTTTCTTTGTTATTTTATAGATGTGTGTGTGTGCGCGTGTGTGCGTGTGTGCTTCTCTGTGCTGCCGGCAGAGGCCTGTGGGAAAACCCTGACAGAACCCAGCCCCGTGTTTTATGTGGCAGGAGGAGGGGCCCGTAAACACTAACAGAGCAGAGCGCTTCCTCTGGCTGACAAGCTTATGATTTCCCCTGAACGCGCCGTTTGGAATCGCGATGGCGTGTCATTTCCCATTATCCTCTACACGAGACCCGCACCGCACGGCCGTGGCTTTCCTTTCCAACCACCCATCGGGAGGAATAGACGAGACCATCATGTGCTGCTGGAACCCGTCAAGGTGGACAGCCCAGAGCCCAAGAGCCCCGTGTCTGCACAGAACAGGTGTGTGGCCGGGCGGCTGGGGCGAAACCTCCCCTCCAGCTTCCCTGCCCTTCCCAGCTCCCGGCCCCTGCAGGCCTCCCTCTGGGTGGGGAGGGAGAGCGGCCTCGGGAGAACCCGCTTTCTCAGGCGGCTTTCCTCTGCCAGGGAAGGCTGGCTCGTGCTCAAGACAGCAAGCGTTTGACAACTGCAGACAGCAGCGAGCATGTCAGCTCGTTTGATTCACATCCCTCACCCGGAACCAGAAAGCCAAGGACACAGTGGTGAGTTCCCTGGTTTTATGGGTCTCCGCCGCTCCCCCCCGGCCTGCAGCTCACCAGCAGCTCACCAGCGTCCTGGCATCCAGTGTGGGAAACCTCAGCTGAGAGCCAACAGCCCCACAGCTTCACCCCGTTAAAATGTGCAGTTGGATTTCACATTCACGTTGCAAACACCATCCGGGGCGTGACTTACTGGCTACGGTCTAGCCCCGCAGCTGTTTTCTCACCCCCAGGCTTAGCTGTTGACAGGGATCCACCACTGGCTCCCCAGCACAGAGCCTCCTCACCTTGGACCTCCTCCATCGCCCCTGAGCACCCAGAACTATGCGAGACTGACAGTAAGCATCCGAGAAAATATTTACTGAACAAATAAACGAAAGTTCTCTTTCCACGGAATTTCTCATTCGCCACAAGAGCTGATTCGATGCCTTCTTTCTGTTTCCCCCCACTTTCAAGTGTTGTTTTTTTTCGTCAAATTAAATAAATCGCTTCTGACCCATTGATAGTGGCTATTTACATGTTAAAACCAGCACGGGCCTCCCCACGTAGATGCATGCCACCCAGGGCTTTCACACTCACTATGTTCTTTCTTTTAAAGGAAAAAGAATCCCGCCACTTCTATTGATTGCAAACGACCCTCCTGCGGCCGAGTCAAGGCAGACTCTCTGTGCCACGCAGTGAGGGACTCAATTCCGTGCCATCGTGACTCTGTGACCACCCTCCCCAAGGTCCCAACCTAGTCTAGCTTCCAAGAACCTGAAATCACCCACAAAAAGGCTAAGTCTCTGGCTTAGGGTTGTGATTAGTTCAGATGTAGGTACTGATACTTCCTTCTAAACATCTGAATTTTTAAGCTGTTGCAGGAATAGAATGGAACTGGTACTCGAGTACTTTCTTCCTCTCTTTTTAAAAAATACAGCGACTCCAGAGAGAGGAAGGGAGAGACAGAAACATCAGTGACGAGGGAGAATCACTGATTGACTGCCCCCTGCACATCGCCCACTGGGGATCGAGCCTGCAACCCGGGCATGTGCCCTGACCGGGAATGGAACTGTGACCTCCTGGTTCATAGGTCGATGAACAACCACTGAGCCACGCCAGCCCAGCATTCAATTCGTTTCTGATTCTTCTGTGCACAGTGTAGCTATCAGTATAGAGCAGTGTTTCCCAAACTTTTGACATATGTGTACCCCTTCTATAATTTTCGTAAAGCTGAGTACCCCTGGTACTCATGAGAACGTAGAATTAGGCGTAGCTAAGCACGGTGCAGTGCATATCCCCACCAAACTCTTCCTGTACCCCTGAGGGTACGCGTACCACACTTTGGGAAACACTGGTATAGAGTAACAGACTCAGAAGTTGCCTGAACTTAACCCTTGTTAGTGCACCCCATGCAGTGAGTGGTCTGTGGGATTCCTGTGTCCTGTGAGGAGACGCACCCTTCAAGTGAGAAAGACGAAGGAAAAGGAAGCTATGACATCGAGAGAAGTGTCCTGGGTCAAGTTTTTGCTGGAAATGGTGTTTGGCTGGATCAGCTTCACCCTAATGCACGTGTCAAACACAAGGCCCGCAGGCCAAATCCATCCCGCCAGGCCTTGCAATGTGGCCCACACCACGCTGTCATCACTGCACTCCGCTGCGTTTCCATCACAATGACAGTTTATGACTGTTCAGTAAACCATTCGGCCCGCGATTTAGGCTGGATTTTAGATTTTGGCCCCTTCTCTGATTGAGTTCGACACCCCTACCCTAATGGCTCCACGGGTGCAGCTTCTACTTCAGATGAAAACAACGCACTCAAAGGGTTGGTACCTGACACTGTGTTTTGCCCTTTGTTGCAACATACCAGTCTTTCCCCACGCGCAGAACCTCAAGGTGCCAGGGGAGCATTTTCTGTACCGTTCACATGCCCTAGCCACTGCCCCTGGCATTGAGATTGCAAGTTTTGCCTGGAAAACAACAACACAGGCTTTCTCCTGCATTTCAAACTACCACACAGCAGCTGAGGAGAGAGCATGCTCACCACGCTGCAAGCCACAATCGTCCTAACAAACCTGCTTTATGAAAGGGAAGTCCTCTAAGGCAGGATACCAGGAAGAAGCTATTGGGGGACCACAGTGTTTAATGGTCTGCCTAGGAAAGGCCCCCGGGTTCTACAACTCAAGAGGGGCGGCTGCCAGTCTCAGGGCTTACCTCTCCTCCCCCTCCTGCAGCGGCCTTCTGGTAGACCTCAGGAATAAAGACCTCTCATTTACCTCCTTGATAATCTGGTAATTAGACCGTGTGGACATGCTGGGCCGTCAGATCCTCACGTTACCCAAAGGGTCAATATCTTTAAACCCTTAACATGAAAAATAACCCCAACTTCATGCTTCTGACAGAAGGTCCCAAAGGCCAGCATTTCAGTCAAAGGATGAGAATCACAGGAAACAAAACGGCCACTTGTTAAATACAAATCACACATCTGATGTTGAATCAGGCATCCCACCTCATTCTCATTAGTGTACCTTTTCTCATGAATCTCTCAAGGCCAACGGTTACTCTCTGACCCAGTTTTATATGTGGGTACAGCACACCAAGGTGGCCCAGGAAAACACAACTGGCATCGGGAGAAGGAAGATTCAAAGCCAAGCCTCTGTCCCCGAGACCCCGTGAATGTTCCTTCCAGTCCACCGAGCTCCTCCCCAGAACGCCACGGCAGACGCTGGGAAACACCTTCTCCCCGATCTGGTACTCAAGCTGGTGGGGGTAACTGGGTACTAGAGGTGGGGTGGGAAGAATCTGGGCGTTAGAGGGATCTGGGGGAGAGCAGCTCTAAGGCTCCTGCCCTGCTCCGACATCCTCCTCTCCTAAGTACCCGATTCTCACTCACCTGAGGGGAGCTGAGTCATCAAGACCCTTCTATTTCCTGTCGTGACCAAAACCACCATCGATCCCTTTGCTCCCTCCTTCCTTCCCTCCCTGCCTCCCCTGCAGCTTTGGTGACATTGCCAGTGAGGAGACCCCTCCATGGCCTCCAAACTTGGGCAGTCGAAACCCTCCTCCCAAATGATGCATTCTCAACACCCTTCAGCTACATCACAATCACTGCCTTACCCCGAAAGCAGCTTGTGATCCAATCGGACATATTCGTCCCACCCTCTCACCCTTTCCATTCCTACCCTGAATTCTGTGTCGTTAACATACCTCTCTCCTACCCCAACCACTTCAAAACACACGTATATTGTTTTAGAACAAGACAGAATATAAATAAGTAAACCAAGAAATACATCTGTCTGGTAGCCCATCCTCTTTCTGGCTCCCAAACAGTGAAAGAACCAACACTAACCCATCCCTCACATCGTGCTCTTTCCACAAGCAAAGCTCACATACGTCAGCACTCAACACACGCTCCCCGAGTTCCCAACACCTTCCAACTCCAATTTCATTTTTTTTTTTTTAGTTCTTTTGTTAGTATTGAGGATTACCCCCCCCCCCCAATTGATTTTTAGAGAGAGTAAAGGAGAGGGAGAAGGAGAGAAGCATTGATGTGAGAGAGACATATAGATGGGTTGCCTCACACATGTAACTTGACCAGGCCAGGGACTGAACCTGCAATGCAGGTACATGCCCTTGATCAGAATCGAACCCGGGACCCTTCGGTCAGCAGGCCAGATGTTCTAACTACCCAAGAACTGGCCGGGGCCCAACTCCCATATTTCTATAGTTTCAACCCTTTCACGTTTCTTCCTTCACTTGAACCTCCACGTGTTTGCGTAAGGTTTCCTTCTAGAAAGAAGGCTTGGCAATCACCCCCAGACTCCCTCACCCCACGGCGGTTAGCTCTGGCCGGGCAGCCCATGTTACCATTGGAGTCTTCCACTTCTTCTGCCGGGGCAGCTTTCTGGGCGGCGTGGTGGTTGTGGGAGGAGAGCAGGCTGACGATCCGAGGCCTGGGCAGCGTCAGGGCTTTCCCGTGGACCTTGAGGGAGTGTTCCTTTAACTGGCTGATTGTCATGGTGGAGAAGGAGCACCAAGAACATTTGTAGGCATGTTCACCTGGGAGGTGGGGCAAGGGACAAAGGGAGAAGGAGGGCACAGGTGGGGTGGAGACCAGAACACGGTTAATCACTCGATGAAGGAGCATCCTGAGCTTCGGGGTCTATAACCCCCTCCCATTCCCCAGCCACTGCTCTCCTCCGGGATTGAAACCCTGGAGGAACTCCTTATTCAAATGACCTGGCTCCTCCCCATTTCACACTCTGCTGACGTGGAGGGGCCTATGGGCTGTTCCTCCTCAGGGAGCCAAACCAAATGTCTAAGATGCCCCCGCCAGAAATGCTTCCCGGTCAAGGCTGCCCTTATATGGTCATCAGGAAAAAACATGCCTAATTCTCCTTTCATGACCTTTCGGTGGCTTTCCATCACCCGTCCCTCCGTGCCAGTCCACTGTGCTAGTCTCATTCACCACTTCCTTGCTGACTCCACACCTCCCGACTCCATTCATCTCAGGGGGCTTTGTTTTCTTTCTGGACCAGTTCACAAACCTCAGGATAAAACCCCATTTCCCTATGTAATCAATAATACAGAAATGGGTAAAAACAAGTCCTTTTTTTTTTTTTAACCGAAAGAGGTATCGCTATACTTATATCTCCACCTTCTTCAATTATCAGGATATTTCAGTTAAAATAAGAATGTTCTTTTTAATTATTTTTATACCACTGAAATGCAGGACGAATCACTAGGACTAAATTAAATTAGAGTATGATTTACCTTTGCCCTAAGTCAGTTTTTCAATTAACTGCATTTTCAGAGGCGAGGGTGTGAAATGGGCAAGCTTATGTTATGTTACCCTAGTACAATCAACTCAGAAAGCAATTCTGCTTTTTGGCACAATAGGCTTTGGATGTTCATGCTTATAATGCAGTAATTCCATTTCTGAGAGTTTACATTACGGAAATATCCTTTAGTATATAGAAAGCTTTATTTAGAAATAAACATGCAATTATGCTTGAAAAAGATGAAACAACCTAAATTTCCAACCATGGGAAAATGATTCAGTAAATGTGGCCCTATCTTCTTGATGAATTGTCATTTTCTTAAAGAGTCTATAACAACATAGGAAAATAAGATACTCGAAAAATAGATAGGAAAGCATAATATCTTTTAGATTAAATTATAACCACAATTGTTAAAAATAATTATAGAGGAAACAGTTGAAAGGAAAAACTATCAAATGTTAACAACAGCTGCCTGGCTGGTGTGGCTCAGTGGTTGAGCGTTGACCAATGAACTAGGATAGGAGTTGCCAACCTTTCGGACCTCACAGACCACCAGTTGGCAACCTCTGAACTAGGAGGTAACGGTTCAATTTCTACTCAGGGCACATGCTGGGGTTGTGGGCTTGATCCCCAGTAGGGGGCGTGTGGGAGGTAACCAATCTGTGATTCTCTTTCATCACTGATGTTTCTTTCCCTCCCTAAAATCAATGAAAACATCCTTTAAAAAAAAAAAAAAAAAGTTAACCACCATAGTCTTGAGATAACAAGATTATAGAGGACTGACTATATTACCTTCATTTTCAAATTTTCTATAATCAACATGTATTTTTAAAATTTATTTTTAAGTGAAATTTAAAAGCCAGAGGAGATGAAAGAGGAGGAAGTAAAGGAATGAGAGAAGAATGGCTTTATGGTTATGAAGGTTGTCTGGGCCAGTCGGAAGAGCTGAGGGCGGAGCTGAGGGCCAAGCTTATGTATCCAGTTTAGTAAGTGAAGCAGGAACTGGAAGGGAAAACTGTCCTCGCTTCATGCAGCGAAGGGCTGTCGCCTGCCACCCAATGGTTTCACATGTGAGGTGACCCTCCAGCCCAAGTTCTACATAAGTCTCCTTTCACCACTGATGACCCCAGAGCTTGCATTTCCAAGAAAGTCTTGAAACTAACCTGGATTTAAGCAACGTGATACAGCCCGAGGCAGAACAGACATTCAAAGAGGTCAGAGGATCCAAACAAACAACATCCATCAATGGTCCCCCATAGTTACCTAGGAGTTACAGGTAATGCTGGGCCACGAGCAATGCGCTTTATTACTACTACCTATATAAGTAATATATACACACACATATATATGTACATATATAATATATACACATTATATGCATATTGTTACAAATACAGGGTGGGGCAAAAGTAGGTTTATAATTGTGAGTACTCAAAATATGGAGTTTACTTTTGTATTATCATTGTATTATTACAATAATTATTATATTACATTATATATAATACCACGGCTCTCCCTATTCCATTTTTCAATAAAAAAAAAAAAAATCTTTATTCCCTGACAGGTTTGGTTCAGTGAATAGAATGTCAGCCTGTAGACTGAAAGGTCCCAGGTTCGATTCCAGTCAAGGGCATGTACCTTGGTTGCAGGCACATCCCAAGTGGGAGTATGCAGGAAGCAGTTAATCGATGTTTCTCTCTCATTGATATTTCTAACTCTATCCTTCTCCCTTTCTCTGTAAAAAATCAGTAAAATTTATTTTTAAAAAAATCTATTGTTGAGAGTATTACATATGTCCCCCCTCTCCCTTATATCTCCACCTTCTCCACCTCCCCCTCTCCTTCGCTCCCCCGCCTTGACCTCTTGTAGTGTGCCTCCATCCCCACCTCAGGCCTTCACCACCCTATTGTCTATGTCCATGGATTAAGCATATATGCATACAAGTCCTTTGGTTAACGAACTTTGTTTAGTGGTTGTAAATAGTCCAACTGGAGAGAGAATTCAAATCCAGGTCACTTGGTTCATCTACATGACTCTTTATCCTTTAAAATAATCCATATACAATAGACAAGATGAGTCAACAGTCCTTTGCAAAATGTACTGGCTCTCCCTTAGCCGGGCCACTGTCAGTGGCTGAGGGCCATTTGTGGACACCAGAGCTCCCAGGTGCACACAGAGCTGAACTACACCGCTCCCATTGGCTCCCCATCTGAATGCTTCCTTCCCTCCAACCAGTGGGCACTGAAGGCCAGTCTGCCTGCCAGCTCCAAGAACCTACACTTCCGCTCAGTGCCCTGGAGCCAGTGTGCAGCCTCTGGCACCCCCTCAAAGCCCTTCCTACAGGCCGAATCTTTACCCAACTCCCATTGCGACAGCGCTTCTGACAAGGTGGAGGCCTATGGGAAAAACACCAGGCAGGGACCCCAGCTGAATCATTTACAATATACAGTTAGGAAAGAATGGCTTGAACCCCGGAGCCTCTCCATGAAATTCAGTGGAATTTTCCTAGAGATATAAAAATACTTACAGAGAGAGACAAGCCCATTGGGCTAATCTCCCCTGTCCCAGGTCCCCCATTCCCACCCCCACCCTGCTGCCCGCCGTGGGGCCCAGGGCATCTGGAAGCCTTCAATAGCTTCACTGCATTGAGCCAGTTCAACGGGACCCAACAGTCAGGAGGAGACAGCAAAGTGACAAGTGTATTCCCACAGACAATGAGGAGACAGCAAAGAGTTGGAAGGAAGGACTCAGGTTCTTGGTGGGTTTTATAACCACCCAAGGGGAGCCAAAAAAATGAGGAGGATTCTAGCTGTCTGCCAATTTTTAAACTAGGATCTAAATCTCTCAGCCTAGGAAACTCAGGGAGGAGATGACTTCTGAAAGAATCTGGTGGCAGAGCTGGGTGTCCTGAGGCCCCCATTTCCCAGTTTCCCTTTGGGTTTGATGTGAGTTCCTCTGAGGTAGTCAAAAGCTCTGAGAGGGTCACACCCAGGCTGCTGCCGAGTTGGGGTTCCGAGAGTGACTGAGTAGCTTATGGAGACATCCCCAGTCCCCTCCCCACTGCCTTTCCTACGTCAGGCGTCTTTTCTTTCGAGTTCAGATTATCTACCTGTGAGCATCCCCTATCATATGCAAAGTAGAGAAAGAGAGAGAAAGAGAGAGAAAGAGAGAGAGAGAGGGAGGGAGGGAGGGAGGGAGGGAGGGAGGGAGGGAGGGAAGGGAGGGAGGGAGGGAGGGAGGGAGGGAGGGAGGGAGGGAGGGAGGGAGGGAGGGAGGGAGGGAGGTAGCATCCCATCAGTGACAGGGATGTGCTTGTTCTGGAGTCAAGTTCAGTGAGTAAACCACATGGCTTTGAGCAGGTCACCTGATACTGAGGGTGATAACTTGCCCTTTAGGCCTGCCATGAGGATGAATGCAACGATGAATATAACATGTTCAGTAAAGAGCACTGTAGGTAAATTGTTCAATGAAGCAAGCACAGGGAGATGGACCATACAGGGTCAGAGACCCATGCATGACCCCAAACCCCTGCTTATCTTGTATCTGGAAAGGTACCTAAGGCAACTCCCCAAGAATCTCACTGCTTGTCTTGAGATCTCTTAAGTGTTCCTTTGAACTTCCTCAAGACTACAACATTACTTTACTTGGGGATTATCCTTAGTGGATGGAACAATTCTTGCATTTCCATTAGAAAGGCAAGGGAGTTTAGAACTTTCTCTTCACCAGCAAAAACCATCAGCATGCATCAACTGTGACGTGGGTGACACCGGGCTTGGTATTATTTTGGCTTTAGGCAATTCCTTAGTCTTTCTTTATTCGATTAAAACAAAACTAAATGTGCAACCGTCTCAGGAATAACTTATACTCATGTGTGGGACAGGAGACTTTTAGTTTACTCAGTGAAGACCACAGGATTTCAAACGCAGCAGACGTGGCCATCCCCGATGTCAACTCACCAGCATGAGCCTTGAGTAGGTGTGTTTTTAGGCGGCTGTTGTAGGAGGACTTGAAAGAGCAGAGTTTGCATCGGAATGGTTTATGGTGTCCGTGGTGGGTTTGCATATGGCGATCCAAACTTGACGTAGGAGAAAAACGAACAAACAAAAAGACAGGGTTAAAAACTGCGTGTGACGTTTTCTCAGAAATCCCATTTCTACGCTGTTCCAAGTCATTTTGCTACTTTCCAATGATGATGGTTTTAAAAAAAAAAAAAAGGCCAAGAGTGCCACCTACTCTAAAAGGAGGGGAAGCTGAAGGAAGGAGGAGATAACACTTGAGCAGAGAAGGGTTTCAAAGTGTTGAACTACTTGCAATGAGCGGCTTGTTTCCAAAGCCTTTGTAAACACGCAGGTGTGATTACGGGAAGCCCCGTGGTCCAGAGGCTGGTCATCCCTCTGACAAGCACAACAACGTCTACTGTACATCCGTCTTCCAGAAGCATCTTACAAGGATGTTATTTAATGATATGCGTTCCCAGCATTACATCATTATTACTCTAAAGAAAATAAATCCATCCACCAAGCAAGATGTGGGAAAAGCCCTAATGTGTATCACTACCCCACGTCCCACACCCTTTCCAAACCACTCAGGTCTTATCTTCCTACTTTAAGATCGGACTCAAGTGCTCCCGACTCCATAAAACCTTACTGATTCTTTCAGAGTGAGGTTAACATCTCCCTCTCTTTGAGACTTCATAGCATTTTATTGACACACATTTTTTAAAGAAGTGTGCCTTCTATGGCAAGTCGTTGGTGTGCTTGCTTTATTTAGCATCCGGCTAGACCCTAAACTCCTGTAAAACACTGACCACGTCCCATTCATGTTCACATGCCCCGAAGTCTCCAGGACACTGCCGAGCACAAGGGCAAACTTGCTTATTCACAACGATGTCCTGAGGTTCTGCTAGATGACAGGTGCTGTTGTAATGTACTTCGGACCCTCGCCGGTTTGGCTCACTGGATACAGTGTCAACCCATGGACTGAAGGGTCCCGGGTTTGATTTCGGTCAAGGGCATGTACCTTGGTTGCAGGCTCGATCCCAAGCCCTGGTCAGGTTGCACGTGGAGGAGGCAACCAATAAAATGTTTCTCTCACGTCGAAACCGGTTTGGCTCAGTGGATAGAGCATTGGCCTGTGGACTGAAGGGTCCCAGGTTCGATTCTAATCAAGGGCAGGTACCTTGACTGCGGGCACATCCCAAGTAGGGGGTATGCAGGAGGCAGCTGATCAATGTTTCTAACTCTCTGTCCTCCTCCCTTCCTCTCTGTAAAAAAATCAATAAAATATATATTTTTTAAAAATGTCTCTCTTGCCGAAACCAGTTTGGCTCAGTGGATAGAGCGTCAGCCTGCGGACTGAAAGGTCCCGGGTTCGATTCCGGTCAAGGGCATGTACCTTGGTTGCGGGCACATCCCCAGTAGGGGGTGTGCAAGAGGCAGCTGATCGATGACTCTCTCTCATCGATGTTTCTAACTCTCTATCCCTCTCTCTTCCTCTCTGTAAAAAATCAATAAAAATATATTTTAAAAAAAGTCTCTCTTACATCAATGTTTCTCTCTGTCTCTCCCCTTCCTTTCCACACTCCTCCCCTCCCCCCCCCAAAAAATTAAAAATATCCTCGGGTGAGGATTAACAACAACAAAAAAATAGTTTTGGAATTGATGAGAACTAAACAAATTTGATGCCTGGATCCGACAACAAAGATTAGATATTTGACTCCGAATAATGATAATAGTTTTAGGCATCCCAAACGCTGCAGAAGCACTGCCTCCTCCCGCCTTTCCACCTCCACTAACTAGCACTTTGTCTGTTTAAAGAAGCAAACAGCCCATCAGTTATTTCCAATTACCATAAAAATAAACAGCATGTCATAGTCTTACAATTAGTCACCTTCATACAAGACCGCAGAACACATTACGGAACATTTCTCTCTGGCGCACATTCAACAGGGAAAGGGAGCAAAATGCTGTTCCGTCTCAGAACCATCCCTCTTCTCCTCACCCCAAAAAGCCTTCCGTAAAAACTCCAAGTTTACAATTTCTAAGCCGGGACGAACGATGGAAAGCTCCCACTCTTCAACCACTCTGAACTGCAAGCCTCTCTCTGGGTTCCAGCAACTTATCTACCTTTCAAGGTCTTTTTAAAAATATCAAGCAATGATGCCCAGTCGGCATGGCTCAGTGGTTGAGTGTCAACCTATGAACCAGGAGATCACAGTTCGATTCCTGGTCAGGGCACATGCCCGGGTTGCAGGCTCCACCCCCAGTGGAGGGTGTGCAGGAGGCAGCCCATCAATGATTCTCATCACTAATGTTTCTATCTCTCTCCCCATCTCCCTTCCTCTCTGAAATAAATAAAAAATATATGTATATATATTTTAAAAGAATCAAGAATAAGCCTTTGGTCACATGGGTTAACAGTCCTAATTCTACCTTCCCAGTCACTCCATTTCCCAAATGGAACTTACTCCTCAAATGATGATTAGGTACCAGTAAACTTATCGAGACTCTGATCTTTCTTTGTGTACATCAGAGCCATACCTCCAAAACTGTCATTAAAAAAAAAAGAAAAAAAGCCTGCATTAATCAAATCTTCTATCAACCAAGCCAACTCCTGCTCTTAGCCCCATCTGACAGATCAAGTTGAAGGTAACTGCCAACTAGACAGCAGGCGTGACCCACGAGGGGTGCCTGCTGACTCCTCCAAGCTTGTCCCACCCTCACGTAGCTGCCCTCCGTGAGGTCCCCTCCCCCCAGGTAACACGCGACCACTCCCTGAGCACTTACTTGTGCCTGAACGCGGAGACAAAGGAGCAATACTGGCAGCTGTACTTGTCCTCGCGGGCGAACATGGCCAGGGCCAGGTGGCTCCTCTCGTGAGAACGCAGCCCCTGCATGGACATCAGCACTCGGTCACATTGACTACAATGGTATCCCCCCGGCCGGGTATCATCCTCCAACATTCCATCAAGCAAGCAGTGTTCACCATCCACCCGGTCCACCAGGGCGCCACTTGCATCTTTGGCTGCGTCCAGTCCGTCCAGGAACAAGTGGGCAGGGTCCTCAGCCTCCTGCTAAGAGAACCACACACACACACAGGCCCCACCGACAACATAAATATCCATGCCACTGGTCCGGGCCTTCCTCCTCTCCCTTCCTGACAGTTTCCTTCCCTGCCTCTCCAGCTCCCCCTAGAGGAGATGGCAAACCTGCTGGCCACTGGTGGTGGTTTTAGGGCAATGTGTGCAGTCCCAGGGGGCGAGGGCCTGGGAAAAGTTGAGAGAGGGGTTCTCCCACACGGAAGACGGTTTTGCTCACTTATCACCCATCTTTAAAAAAGAAGAAAATTAAAATTGTGGTCTCACCTAAAACTGACATAAAGCAGGGTTAGGGTTACGGCTCAGAGGAAAACCAGCAGCAGCAACAGGAAAGGAAGGGATACCACGCCGAGTCGTTTGGGCGTCCTTGGGAAATCAAGGAAAGGGAGCGAGCCTGCCCTCTGTCCCTCATGCTCAGCCCGCCCCGCAGACGGGGACTTCAGCCCTTGCCTGAAGGCTGATGAATAATCAATTCAAGAAATTAAGCAGCAGCTTGGTCTGAAGTCACTCATGTCTCCAGGTGGCTCCTTGGATTACTGATTATGAGAAGAGCCGCTGACTCCCCTGAGGGAGTCCGAGGCTGGGACAACGCCAACCACCGCTGCCCTTGCACTGCCCGCAGCCAGGCAGTTTTAGTCTCAGAGGAGAAGAGCACAGGGTTTGCCTTCACGCCACGTGGGCAAAGCAGGACAAGATCAGACGGGGCTGACGACAAATACACCGTCACATATCCAGGGAGGAGAGGAGCACAAAGCCCTCAGCCAACTTCTCTGTCTCGGCAGGCTAGCCCTGTCCCTGAAGGCTGGGGTGGCGGTGTGGTTATCCAAACAGCGGCATCTATTCTGGCCATGATGCTCGCAATAGGCAGCCTATGAAAGGTTAAGGCACATGTGTCAAACACAAGGCCCGCGGGCCAAATCCATCCTGCCAGGCCTTGCAATGTGGCCCGCACCGCGCTGTCATCACTGCACTCCGCTGCGTTTCCATCACAATGACAGTTTATGACTGTTCAGTAAACCATTCGGCCCGCAATTTAGGCTGGATTTTAGATTTTGGCCCCTTCTCTGATTGAGTTCGACACCCCTAGGTTAAGGGATGGGGGGTGAGAGTGGGGGAGGGATTGCACGTGTCAGTAACAGGGGAGGGGGCAGGCGGGAGACAAATCAGGCCACAGGCTCTCAGGGTCAACTGTGACGTAAGGCTTTTCGTTTTAGGTTTAATGTCTCTGCCACTCCTTCGAGGACCCAGGATAAGAAGTGAAAGACAGATTCTTCTCCCAGTCCTCTCTGCACCTGCCAGCCCGGCGAGAAAGAACAGTGAGAGGCCAGGCCAGTGGGAGGAGCCCAAGAGGACAGGACAGAACACACTCCATTGCTCTCAGGGGCTCAGGCCACAATGAAGAGCCTACACCTAGTGGCGCTACGCGCGGAAGAGAAGGGCGACCCAAAGGCTCCTGAGCCCAGAGGCCCAGATCTCCCGTTTCCGCCCAACTACCCACGCGGAAGGGAACCAGATCGGAACTCGACCGGGTCAAGAGACACGCAAGACGAGGGAGGTCCAACCTGCAAAGAAACCAAACCAAGGCGGACCGACGGCTGCACACAGCCCGGGGCCGCCCTCCCCGGAGCCACTCGGAGCCCCGGGGTTAATGAGTAACGCGCCCGGACGGCTCACACACAGGGGAACGCTCCTCCAGGGCTCCCCCTCGCTCACCTTCACGGCGGACACGGCGGGGACGCTGCCATACTGGACGTGCTTCCGCAGGTGGTTGCAGATGGCCCGGAGCGTCGGGTGCACTTCCACACAGAATTTACACTTGTAGCCCACCACCTTCCGCTCCTTGATCTTTGGCACCTCTTCTAAGTGACCAAAAGGCTGGCAAAATACAGTGGTAGCCGTCAGTACTCGGAGCCCCCCCCCCGCAACGGTCGGCATTTATTCTTGCAGCTTACTATAGCAGATTTTATTTATTTTTTTTTTTAAAGCAGATTAGCGGGTTAAAAAACCAAGGGAGAGAGAGAATGAGGACTTTTTTTTTTTTTTTTTTTAACACATAACGAATTCGTCAGAGTCGTGGCACACTGCCTGCTATGCAAAGTCTCTGGAACCCGCGTGCATTTACGACTTGTGAGAGAAGATTTCCTGTGCAGAGAAGCCTCATCGTCACGGCCACCAAGGGGATCTGGTCTGCAAACCCGTTTCGACTACGGCAGGTGAGAACGTTGCATAGCTACGCCGTTAGTGAGCTTCTTGACACACATACACACACACAATTCAATTCTACTCCTGGAGATGTTAGGTTCACGTGGCAACGCTGCGGACCCGGGTGAGACACGGCCGAGAAGCGCTCCTGAGGCCGAGAGCCAGCCCACGGCGGCCTCCGGGAAAAGAGGGCGGGCGTCGCCGTGGACCTGGGCCTCCAACAGGGCCGCTTGGCAGAGAGGAGAGACACGGAGAAACCGCCCCAACCCTCCCCCGGGGGGGTGGGAGGAAGCCTCCGGAGGAGCGAGAGGGCAGGGCACAGGACCGTGGAGAAGAGTGAGCACGGAATGGGGATAATCAAGCTCGAAATGTTTAATTGACTTATTGAGCTCTCTGGCAAGCTAAGTCACTAGAGGAAGCCCGTGGCAGCTTGGCTGGCAGCGGAGACGTGCGTGTGGGCACCAGCGCCGAGAGGCCTCCTGGGGGAAGGGGAATCAAAACATATCCTTACCCTCTCTTGTTTGAAATCTGCAAAAGCACCATCTGCATATTTCTGCTTGCTCAAAAGCTGTTTCCTCCTCTCCTGACGCTTGGCACGCTTCTGGAATTCCTCGTTGTGAACGCTCAAGTGCGAGGTCAGCTCGGCGGTGCTCTGCAGCTTGCTGTCGCAGTGCTTGCACTGGTAGGCGGCGCCCTGCGGCCGGGGGCCGCCGCCGCCACCGCCCAGGATGACGAAGTCCCTCTTGAGGTCCCGGCTGTGGTGGTCGGTGTAGTGCATGCACAGCAGCTCGGCCGTGCTGAAGGACAGCTTGAAGCATTTGATGCAGCGGAACGGCAGCCACTCCATCTCCTGCGCCTCGCCGCCTCCTCCTCCCCCCTCCACCTCGGCGGCTCTCTCCGGGCCGCCCCTCTCCTCCTCTTCCGACAGCAGCAAAGGCGGCGGGGGCGCCGGCTTCTCGGGCTCGTCGGCGTACACGGCCGTGAAGTAGCCCCCCAGCTTGCTGGCGTGCTGCTTCTTGGGGAAGACCCCCGGGTGGCGCTTCATGTAGTGGGACACGATGCCCTTCTTGCTGAAGGACTGGAAGGAGCACAGGGAGCACTTCTTCTTCTCCACCGCCCGCCGCAGCTCCTCGCTGAGCTGCGGGGAGTCGTCCTTGGGCGGCGACGGGATGATGACCTTGCTGGGCTTGTCGCTGATGGTGCGGGAGGCGGCCAGGCAGTGGGTGTAGTAGGCGTCGATGTCGTGGCGCTTCTGGTAGTGGGCCGCCAGCCCCTTGCGGATGGGGTTGGTGTAGGAGCACAGGGCGCACTTGAAGAGGTTGTTCTTGCCCTCGGGCTGGGCGCGCACGTTGTTGTGCTTGATGCGGTAGTGCCGGGCGATGCCCTTGCGTGTGGAGCAGAAGTACTTGCAGAGCTGGCACCGGAACACCGTGTGCGAGGCCAGGTGCGAGGTAGAGAAGTGCGCGGCGGGCACGGGCTCCTCGCCCCCCACCTCCTCCTCGGCAGCGGAGACCTGGGAGGGGCTCGCCTCGGCGGCGGCAGTGGCAGCGGCACTGGTGGTGGTGGTGATGTCGGGCTCGGCGAGGGACAGCGGCAGCTTGGGGGGCGACGGGGAGAAGACGTCGAACTCGGGCTGGTTGTGGTACTTCTCGTAGTGGATCCGGAGCTTCTCCAGCGTGCCGTGCGTGTAGGGGCACAGCTTGCAGCGGTAGGCGCCGAAGCCCTGCTTGAAGATGCGGCTCGTCTCCTCCACGTCGCTCTGGGCCAGGTCGGCCGGCTGCTCCACGTCGTGCACGAAGTCCTCGGCGGTCACCTTGACGGCCGGGTGCCGCTTCTGGTAGTGGGTGAGGACGCCGTGGATGCGGGTGTTGATGTAGGGGCAGTGCCGGCACTTGTAGACGGCGCCCGGGTGGATGTCGACGTCCTGGGCGAAGTCGGCGGCTTTCACCTTCATGCCCGGGTGCTTCTTGCCGTAGTGGGTCAGCAGGCCGTGCAGGTTGTTGTACTCGGACTGGCACACGGTGCACTGGTACGGCGTGGAGCTGATGGCGGGGTTGGCCGAGGAGAGCTGGAGCCCCTTCTCGGGGGTGAGGCGGGCGTCCTCGGGGCACTCCGCGTCCTGCTCGGCGGCGAGGGGGGCGGGCAGGCTGCCCTCGCAGTTCACGGGGCCCGCCAGGTCGTCGGACGGCGGCAGGGGGTTCTCGTCCTTCTCCTTGATGATGTCCAGCAGCACGGACTCGTCCCCGTTCATGGCCCACGGGTGGAACGCCTGGTAGTGGTTGGTGATGTCCCAGATGGAGATGGCTTCGAAGACGCAGTCCCGGCAGCGGTAGGTCTTGGCCTCGGCGGGCATCAGGAGGGAGGGCGGGGAGGGGTCCGGCCCGGCCCACAGCTTGGTGGCCATGTAGGTGTAGTCCACGTAGTGCTCGGGGTGCCTCCGCTGGTAGTGCAGGAGCAGGCCGCTGGGCTCCGTGTGCGAGTAGATGCACCACTCGCAGTGGTAGCCGGCCTCGATGGAGCCGTCCAGGAAGGCCCACCGCATGATGGACGTGACCGTGGCCTTGAGGGCGGGGTGGTCCTTCTTGGTGTGCTTCCTCAGGGCGTAGAAGTAGGGGGAGGTGTAGGAGCACTGCCTGCACTTGAGGGCGCGCAGCTTCGCCTTGTCCCGCTCCGCGGCGCCCGAGGGGGCGGCCAGCATGCAGCCGCCGGCGGTGGTGGCGGCGGCGGCGGGCTTCCTCTGGTTCCGGTCGCAGAGGCTCCGGATGGTGGCCGTGTGCTGCCGGATCACGTCGGCGTTGGCCTTGAAGTCCCGGTGCTTCTTCTGGTAGTGGATGAGTACCCCTTTGACCGTCCGGTTCCCGTAATCACAGTGCTGGCAGAAGAACATCTCGGTCTCCGCCGCCGCCAGGGGGCCGTCTCTCTCCGAGCTGCCCCCGCCGCGGCCGCCCAGGGGCGGCATGGGGACGGGCGGCCGCGGGGAGCCCTGGGGCCCCTCGGCCCCCCTCAGCACGGCGGCCGTCGGGGGGGCCTGCCTGATGTACTTGGCAGTGACCTTTATCTCGGGGTGTCTTTTCTGGTAGTGGACAAGCACTCCCACAACGGACCGATTGCTGTAGGAGCAGTGTTTGCAGTAGTAAAGCTCAGTGCTGAGGTCTGGTGGCGGGGGCGGCGGGGGGGGAGGCGGGGAACCCATGGTGGACATTTTGGGAGACATGGGGGCACCCACCTCAAACGACAACTGGGCAAGGGCGGCGCCCCTGTCCACAGACACCATGCGCATGGTTTTCTGGATCCTAAAGTAGGAGGCCTTTTCCTCGGGGTGCTTCTTCTGGTAGTGGACCAGGACGGAGTGCATGTTGGGGCTGGCGAAGGAGCACACGTCGCAGTCGTAGACGACCACAGTGCTCACGGAGGGGTCCTTCTGGTTTTCACATTCTGGAGGAAAGGTCTTGGGGGGGGTGCCCTTGCCGAAGGCCAGGCCGCTGCCGCTGCGAGCCGCCACGGGCGTGGACGTGGCCAGGGTCTTGGGCGCCGAGTTGAGGATCTCCCTCAGCGTCTGGGACTCGGCGCTCAGCCCCTCCTGCTGCTCCACCACGTAGCTGGAGAAGATCATGGCGTTGTTGATCTTCACCGTGGGGTGCATTCTTTGGTAGTGCGGCATCAGGCTCCGGACGTTGGGGCTCGTGTAGGAGCAGAAGCGACACCGGTAGATCAGGTCCGAGTGGTCGAAGTTGAGGACGTTCATGGCCTCGGGGTGGTGCTCCCCGTAGTGCTGCTGCAGGTCCTCGAAGTTGGTGTAGTCGATGTAGCACTCCAGGCACCGGTACACCGCGCTGTGGTCGTTGGGGTCCAGGATGTACCTGAAGCTGAACTTGATGTACGGGTGCATCCGCTGGTAGTGGGTGCTGACGCTCCGGGCGGACTTGTTGTTGAAGTCACAGTGTTTGCAATAGTAGAGCCTCCCGGAGTCGCCGAAGTCCGTGCTCTCGCTGTTGTGCTCGGGGCCGTACAGGGGGACCTGGGCGTTGAGCAGAGCGGTGCCGGGGAGCTGGTGATCCTTCAGGTTCGCCGAGGAGCCGTAGTAGTCCTCCTCGTCCTCCGAGAGCGTGAGCTCGATCTCGGCCCCGTTGGTGGCGCTGTAGTCGTGGCTGACGCTTCGGAAGCCGGGGGGCTCCTTCTGGGGCTCGCCGCCGGCGTCCCGCACCCAGATGGGCTGCGCGGCGAAGGGCGGGGGCACCTCCAGGACCGGGGGCTCCGGCGGCTCCTCCTCCCGGTCCAGCTCCACCTCGATCTCCACCTCGTGGTCCTCCTCCATCTCCTCCTCGTCGTCCTCGACGTTGATCACGGCGTCCTCCAGCTGCTTGCTCTGGTTGATCTTGCTCTGCAGGTTGCTCGCGATCTCGTCGATCCTCGTCCGCTTCTTCACGGGCGACAGGTCGAGGGGGAAGTCGCTGGCCAGCTTCCGGGGGGCCTTGGCCACGAAGTTGTTCTTGGAGGACAGCCCGAGGATTGAGGTCTGGCTTTTCTTCACAGTGTTGCTGGAAGAGGGGTGGCCGTCCGCCTCGCTTTCCAACGGGAGGCCGGGGGGCGGCCCCTCGAATTTTGGCAAGTTGTCGCAGAAGGAGTGCTTGTGCTGCTGATGGACGCGTAGCCCTTTCAGAGTGGTGGTGGAGTAGTTACACATGGTGCACTTGTACGGGTGCAGGGGCGGGGCTGGCACGGGGGGCGGCGGCGGCGGCGGGGGCTGGGGCTGGGGGGGCAGCTGATGCGGCGGCGGCAGCTGCTGAGGCTGCGATGGAGGCGGCGGTGGTGGCGGTGGTGGGGGCGGCGGCGGCTGCTGCTGCAGGGAGTCCAGCATGACTCCCGACTTCCTGCCGTTGATGCTCGGGCTGTCGTAGGACACGACCCCTTCGTTCATGGAGGCGGCGATGCTCTCGCTCTGGGAGTTCAGGGCATCCCAGTCGGACGTCGTACCCGTGTGACACTGTTTGTGGGCCCCCAGCTTGAGCGAGCTCTTGCAAGTAAACGGACACTCGTCACATTTGTACACCGCCGTCTTGCCGGACAGGTGGATGTTCTCTATGTGCCGGGAGATGCTGCGGCGGTGCATGGTGAGGAAAGGGCAGAAGGGGCACTGGAACCTGTTCATGAACCTCCGGAAGGGGATCCCCTTGGTCTCCAGCAACTTGTGGCCGTCGGAGCCCATGAGCTGCTCGGCGGACAGGCCCGACGCCTGGTGGTCCATGGCGTTGAGGCCGTTCTCGCTGTCCAGCTCGTTGAGCTCTTCCTCGGAACTAGAGTCATTCAGCATGCTGTTCGTCTCCAGGTCAGCGGGGGAATTCGTCATGTCGGCCATCCCGTAGCGGGACCTGTCCGCCAGGTTAACGAGGCCCGAGTTGTGAGGTGACTTCGGCTTCATCGGCGGGTAGGACAGGGGCGAGTACTTGGAGGCGGACGAGGAGTTGGGCCTCAGGATGGAGTTGCTGACGGAGCCCCTGAAGCTGGGGACACTGGCGTTGGGCACCTCCCGGCTGGCAGCGTTCATGGACAGGTAGGTGGAGGAGTTGGACGTGGGGCTGGGCTCGTTCTTGGGCAGGTCGGGGAGACCCGTCCCGTCCTGTCTGAGGTTGGAGAGGACCTTGACCATGCTGCGGTGCTTCTTCATCATGTGGTCGCACCACCGTTCCCGGCGCGGCGTCTGGTAGCTGCACCACTCACAGCAGAAGTTGCCCCGGGACTTGGTCAGGGGCTTGACCATAGACTCCAGGATGCTGCGCTCCACCACCTCGGCGGGCAGCTCCTTGCAGGGGTCCTGCAGGGACACGGGCGGGATCACGGGGTCGGGCATGGGGACAGGGGCGGGAGGGAGAGCGGCGATCTCCTTCAAGCTGTTTTTGTGATACATCTTCTGGTGCTTCATGATCCTCGCCCTCCGTGGTGACTTGTACGTGCAAAACTGGCAGGAGAAGACCTTTCCAAACCCCTCGTGCATCATGATGTTGTAGTTTATGGACCCCGGAAGGGGGGGGCCCGCCGAACTCCCTTCAGCCTGCGCCCCGTGGACCTTCCTCGTGTGTTCGATGAGGAGGTTTTTGGACCTGAAGTAGCGTATGCAGAACTTGCATTGGAAAAACTTGCTCGTTGGTTTGGGACTAGGGGTGACGTGCTGACCATAATATCCTGGACTGTGGCCATAGTAACCTCCGGTCCCCAATGCGGTTGCATTTTGACCTGAAGAGAAAACATAGGGGTGAGTGGGACAAGAAAAGCAAAGCAAGGGAGAATTAAGAAATTTAATTATGCCGAAACCAGTTTGGCTCAGTGAATAGAGCGTCGGCCTGCGGACTGAAGGGTTCCAGATTCTATTCCGGTCAAGGGTATGTAAATACCTTGGTTGCGGGCACATCCCCAGGAGGGGGCGTGCAGGAGGCAGCTGATCGATGTTTCTAACTCTCTATCCCTCTCACTTTCTCTCCGTAAAAAAAAAAAAAAAAAAAAAAAAAATCAATAAAATATATTTTAAAAAAAGAAAGAAAAAACTGAATAAAATAGGTTAAAAAAATCCAATCATGTAAGTCTATGTTTCTTTTCAGTTATCCTTCATAGCTATGAAAGCACGAGTTTCACCAACTGCAATCTCCATCCGAGAACTTACAGAGAGACTATCTTGTTTTCCAAATGGAAAGGAAACTAAGAGTCAGGAGGAAGCTGAGAGGACAAAAACCTAGGAACTCAAGAATCGAAACCCGATGCCCAAACCACAAAAAGGGCTCAAAAGAGTGAGAAGCTCTTCGGAGGCCCGCGTATCAAGAACCAAGGCCACTGGCTCAAAATACATGAGAGCACTGAAATATATCAGGCAGGCCGAGGTTAGTCTCGATTTACCTGATAAATCCTCTGCGATCCCAAATTCATCCTTTATAGACGAGAACTCCACCTCCGTCTGATTACTGGCATTCATGGACCCGGATCGTGGCTCATTCGCGTTGTCTTCGGCGACATCGGTGGGCTGCAGGAACGCCGTGTGGACATCCTGGATGTGCGCCTTGAGATCTTCGTAGGATGGGGCTCTGAAGTCACAGCCATCGCACTGAAGCACCTCCATGATCGGGGTCTACCCTCTCACATCAGGGACCTGTAGCAGAGGTCACAACAAGACGTCTTAAGGAAGGCAGGACATGTGCACCCTGGGTCTACGGGGCTGAAGCCATTACTGGAGAAAAGTCTAATATTCGGCAGATTTTGATCACTAAGCTCTACCGGTTGGAACACTGGCCAAAGGAAGGCAATCAGACATAACAGGGATGATGGCCTTGACTTCATAACTTCAAAGAAGGGGGGAAAGGGGAGGGGAGAGACCCACAAAAACACCCAGATAAACTTTTATTGGCTCGATATATCTTCAAATATTATACCATTTCTCAAGGAAACTTCCAAAGTTTGAGTAGTTTCTGAATATCTTGATCAAATTCAAATTTCTAGGTAAGTTCATTCTGATTGTGGTTCCGGCTTGGACCCATTTTCTTTTTTGAAATAGAGGCTGCTCATTCAGAGGAAAAGAGAAAATTTCAATCTCCATTTGCCATTTTAGTATCATAACACTGGTGTTTTACCACTGCATTATGAAACAGTATGGACTCTCAAAGTGGTGGTAAAGAGGGCTTTTATTGTACCTTTTATTATTTTAACCTTAATAATTTTAAGAAATAAAAATGTTAAAAATAATTTTATTATTTTAATTTAATATCTTAACTAATTTTGGGATACACCTCTTTCCTTCCTTCCTTGAACACTTTAGTTGGCTTTTTTTTTTTTTTTTTTGAGCCAAATGGTTATTTGCTTTTTACTACCCACCAATTATAACTTAACAGCTTCTCCAATCTAATTAGGTCATAAAATATTTCTCATGAGGTTCTCCAACAACTAAGTTTAAGATGACAATCCAGATTCTTGTTTAAAGTTTGCACCTTGGTACCTCAATTTACATGAAGGCAACAGACAGAAATTCGCAGTCTTGAAGAGGGACTTCTGAGTCATGACTTTTTACAATCTTTTCCTATTTCTCTCCTTTACAAATGTGAAGTGTACATTTGAACACACACACACACACACACACACACACACACACAGGCTGTGGACCCGAGGTAGAATAATTTTAAAATCTTGCCCAGCTACCTTCCTTCTGCTATTTTAAAAAAATGGGATATAAATATAGAGACAGCTTCCCACTAACTCAATGGGCAATCCCGTCAGTAAGAAGTTAAAAATGGAGAAGGTACAGACCTTCTTCCTATCGCAACATATATTCTGAGTGGAGATAACCTACGGGTACCTGAATGAGTGAGCTAGTTCATGGAGCTCACTCACCCCAAACTCGACTGAGTCGTTGCAATCTAGAACCACATGCCCGAGAACAAACAAATCTCTCCACCCTTTTATTGTGCAGCGACTTTCTCTACTTCCATGGGAGAAGATACCTTATGCCTGCGGGAGAGAACAAAGTCTAGCAGGACGTCCATGTGGTAGAAGCGGCCAATGAGGGAGGATTTTCCATGAAGGCATGCTCCTGCAGATAGCCTACTAAAATAGCTCCTGGCAAGTCCAGCTCCAGACAGACAGGGCTTGCAGAGCGAGGTGCAGACATTCACCTCCTCTTCTCTCCCCAGGGGCAATCTATCCTTTTTTTTCAATAAACATTGAACCAGAGTCTTTTCAGCTAACCAAGTCTCAATATTCCAGATACACAAGCTTTTAGGTCGAAGAAGCACCAACCCAAATCATGTGGAAGAGGGTTGCTATCAGCTTTGGATCGGATTACAGCAGCCACCCAGGCCCCACCCCACTCCTCTCGCACAGTCCATTAGACCTGAAAACAAATTTTTCCATGGTGCAGACGACTCCTGCATTTAGAACACTTCATAGGGAAGGGGGAGAGAGAGAAAAAAAAAAAAAAAGGCAAGAAAGAAAGCAGATCATCCAGTGAGCACTCCCCATCCCCCAAGCTTAGTCCTTTCATCTCGGCCAAACAAGCCACAGCTCTGCCAAATGTGTTTATCACACTTTGAAGAGATAGGAGCCCTGCGTCACTGGAGCCCGAAGACTGGCTAAGCTGCCCTCTTCCTGAGCTTCAGCGCAGCCATTTTAGCTCCAAGCACAACATGGATTCTCTGGGCTGACGATCTGCAAGGAGCCTCCAAGAGCAGAGCCCGGGCTCCTCCTGGGCTTTTCTCCTCCCAACAAAGAACAAACTGTTTTCATTCCTTTCCCCAAAAAGCTCTGCACCTCTCTCTTCCTCACAGGTCACGCACCAAGACTTCCGAAGGTCCTGTGATCCCATGATTGATAGGCTTGTCCCTCAGTCCCAGCAGAGCACTGGTTCTTACAGGGCGACCCTGGACCAGACCCTACGCACCAGCAGGATTGGGGGGGAGGGAGGGCCCAGGGTGGGGGAACCTCCAGAATGCCTTGGCTTCTTGGGAGTCGTCCTTCCACACACGCAGAAGACATACCATCCGATGCTGCCTGCCAGATTCCAAAGTCTAATGACCTTTGTTAATCACCAGCCAGTCTGTCTGCCTCAGCAGACCCTGCCAGCAGACACACCCTTCTACACAAAGGCTGTAGCTATTCCTTTTAAAAGAGGTTCTCTGAAAGCTCCATTGTGTAGCCGGGAGGAAAACAAAATCTCTTCCCTTCGAAACTTCAAGCCTTTAGAAATAATGCAACAAAAGCTTTTCTGCTGCGTGTCTTTTGGGGAAGTTGGAGCCCGGTTTTGAGCGACATCAACACAAATGATGGTTCTGCACAAGGAGAGTGGGGCACCTTCGGCGTGAAGGCGTCCACCTAGAGAGGAAACCCATCTCTCCGTGCAGCCCACAAACACCTCGGGCTCTTCCAAGGCTGCTAAGGATTTTAACTTCACCGGATGCAAACACAAACCAACAGTCTCCTTGTTCTGCTACAAAGGAGATTAAAGGGTTAGGAGATCAGAAAAAAAAAAAGAAAAAAAAAGCCACTGATTTGGGAAAAAAAAGAAGAGATGATGAAAGTGATTTCCTAATGGGTTCTAGCTTTAATGTTGTTGCAAGCCTCCACCTCAAAAATAGCTCAGAGCCTTGGAGGAGGTTAATCTCCAGGCTGCCGAGAGAACCAGCGTCGGGGACAGCTGAGTGGCCTTCAATTTGATGTCTGCACCAAGTACAGAAATGAGGATGTCGCCTCCTTTGAAAGCCATTTTGTCTTTGTGTACACATTTCTCCTGAGGACGTGCACCGACAGAAGGAAACAGAAATTGCCAGCATGGCCCGAACAATCAAAGAAAACAGAAAACTTGATGTGTTTGTGAGACCGAGGAGGTGTGAGAAGGCAGAGAAGGAGGTGGAAGGGGAGGGGAGAGACAATGAAAACTGGACCCAAGGATGGCCATATCTATCAACCAGAGGATGTTTTTGCAGCAGATGGTAATCCTCTGAGAAACCAACAACAAGGAGAGAGATGAGAAACAGGTTTTGCGAAATTGACTGTTCCAACAACCCAGAAAGAGCAACAACCCTAAAAAGGCGAAATCTAGGCTGATCTACTATGAAAGTGGAGTTTAAAAATCAAAAGCCTTGATCTCACATCTACTTACTTCATTTAAAAAATACTGTGATAATGAGATTAGCCATAGTTTTCCCCCCTCACTGACCAAATCAGCAAAATCAAAGGCAGAAGCAGCAGCTTCTAAATTAACTAAAAAGAAAGGTTATTTCAAAAGACAATGAGATGAATCTACAAATCAAACAAGCACCCTTCCCACTCCCTATGTCTCCTATTCCTCATACAGTACTTCTATCAGGGGACTAGACTCTGAGCACCACCCATGAGGACACCTGGCTAGGTGACTATGGATTCATTCTCTCATAACCTCACACGAATGTGCTAGGTCCTCCTAACCTGGAAGCCCTAGACCAGTGGTTGGCAAACTCATTAGTTAACAGAGCCAAATATCAACAGTACAACGATTGAAATTTCTTTTGAGAGCCAAGATTTTTAAACTTAAACTTCTTCTAACGCCACTTCTTCAAAATAGACTGGCCCAGGCTGTGGTGTTTTGTGGAAGAGCCACACTCAAGGGGCCAAAGAGCCACATGTGGCTCATGAGCCGCAGTTTGCTGACCACGGCCGTAGGCCATCCGATTACTCATTACTCGCCAGTTCTTATTATCTATCAGCTGTTGATTCGTTCAATTCACATTTATAGTTTTGTGAGTTCAAAATGTGGGTTTTGTTTTTATTTTTTATTTTTTTTAAATAATAAATCTTTATTGTTCAGATTATTACAGGTGTTCCTCTTCCCCCCTCCCCCATAACTCCCCTCCACCTGATTCCCAACCCCACCCCACGCCTTTACCCCTGCCACTGTCTTCATCCATAGGTGTAAGATTTTGTCCATCTCTTCCAGCACCCTTCAAACCCCTTTCTCCCTGTGAATTGTTAGTCCAATCCCTTTCTATGTCCCTGATTCTATTATATTCATCAGTCCATTTTGTTCTTCAGATTTTTTTTTTATTCTCTTGACTTTTAGATTCACTTGTTGCCTACAACCAAGATTACTCTACCCAGCAAAGCTATCATTCAGAATTGAAGGTCAGATAAAGAGCTTCACAGACAAGAAAAAGATAAATGAGTTCATCAGCAACAAACCAGGATTACATGAAATGCTGAAGGGTATTCTTTAAGAAGAGGAAGAAGAAGAAAGAGGTAAAGGTAAAAAATTATAAACAAAAAGACATCAAAATGTGGGGTTTTGATGGGTAACCCCAAATCCAATTCTCCATATTTGACAAACTCTTCAAGTCACATTTCAAACAAATCCAAAGGTTTTGTTAAAGCTCTGGAATACACGCATAAAAATGGGGGAAGGGGAGTTATGGGAATAGGCCACTCTTCCTCCACCTTAAGAACACCAGTGTGAATATGTACCGTCTGCCCACACACTCTGTGCTCAGAACTCCTGGGATCCACCAGGCCTCCGCTGTCTTCCTGTGAAGGTGAAAGGGGACAATCCATAGCTCCATGGCGAGTTTCTTCCAACCCACTGCCCAGGAGTAACTGGAGGTAGGGGAGGTGCCCTGATGGTTCACAGAGTTCTGG